CCAACACTCTCACCACCAACACTCTCACCACCAACACTCTCACCACCAACACTCTCACCACCAACACTCTCACCACCAACACTCTCACCACCAACACTCTCACCACCAACACTCTCACCACCAACACTCACCACCACCACCAACACTCACCACCAACACTCTCACCACTAACACTCACCACCAACACTCTCACCACCAACACTCACCACCAACACTCACCACCAACACTCACCACCAACACTCACCACCAACACTCACCACCAACACTCACCACCAACACTCACCACCAACACTCACCACCAACACTCACCACCAACACTCACCACCAACACTCACCACCAACACTCACACACTCACCACCACCACCAACACTCACCACCAACACTCACACCACCAACACTCACCACCAACCACCAACACTCACCACCAACACTCACCAGTGAGGGAGAGCCAATGTGAGGGAGAGCCAGGGTGAGGGAGAGCCAGGGAGGGAGAGCCAGGGTGAGGGAGAGCCAGGGTGAGGAGAGCCAGGGTGAGGGAGAGCCAGGTGGAGGGAGAGCCAGGGTGAGGGAGAGCCAGGGTGAGGGAGAGCCAGGGTGAGGGAGAGCCAGGGTGAGGGAGAGCCAGTGTGAGGGAGAGCCAGGGTGAGGGAGAGCCAGGGTGAGGGAGAGCCAGGGTGAGGGAGAGCCAGGGTGAGGAGAGCCAGAGTGAGGGAGAGCCAGGGTGAGGGAGAGCCAGGTGAGGGAGAGCAGGGTGAGGGAGAGCCAGGGTGAGGGAGAGCCAGGGTGAGGGAGAGCCAGGGTGAGGGAGAGCCAGTGTGAGGGAGAGCCAGGGTGAGGGAGAGCCAGGGTGAGGGAGAGCCAGGGTGAGGGAGAGCCAGGGTGAGGGAGAGCCAGGTGAGGGAGAGCCAGGGGGAGGGAGAGCCAGGGAGAGGGAGAAGCCAGGGTGAGGGAGAGCCAGGGTGAGGGAGAGCCAGGGTGAGGGAGAGCCAGGGTGAGGGAGAGCCAGGGAGGGGAGAGCCAGGGTGAGGGAGAGCCAGGGTGAGGGAGAGCCAGGGTGAGGGAGAGCCAGGGTGAGGGAGAGCCAGGGTGAGGGGAGCCAGGGTGAGGGAGAGCCAGGGAGAGGGAGAGCCAGGTGAGGAGAGCCAGGGTGAGGGAGAGCCAGGGTGAGGGAGAGCCAGGGTGAGGGAGAGCCAGGGTGAGGAGAGCCAGGGTGAGGGGAGCCAGGGTGAGGGAGAGCCAGGGTGAGGGAGAGCCAGGGTGAGGGAGAGCCAGGGTGAGGGAGAGCCAGGGTGAGGGAGAGCCAGGGTGAGGGAGAGCCAGGGTGAGGGGAGCCAGGGTGAGGGAGAGCAGCCAGGGTGAGGGAGAGCCAGGGTGAGGGAGAGCCAGGGTGAGGGTGAGGGAGAGCCAGGGTGAGGGAGAGCCAGGGTGAGGGAGAGCCAGGGTGCCAGGGAGAGCCAGGGTGAGGGAGAGCCAGGGTGAGGGAGAGCCAGGGTGAGGGAGAGCCAGGGTGAGGGAGAGCCAGGGTGAGGGAGAGCCAGCCAGGGTGAGGGAGAGCCAGGGTGAGGGAGAGCCAGGGTGAGGGAGAGCCAGGGTGAGGGAGAGCCAGGGTGAGGGAGAGCCAGGGTGAGGGAGAGCCAGGGTGAGGGAGAGCCAGGGTGAGGGAGAGCCAGGGTGAGGGAGAGCCAGCCAGGGTGAGGGAGAGCCAGGGTGAGGGAGAGCCAGGGTGAGGGAGAGCCAGGGTGAGGGAGAGCCAGCCAGGTGAGGGAGAGCCAGGGTGAGGGAGAGCCAGGGTGAGGGAGAGCCAGGGTGAGGGAGAGCCAGGGTGAGGGAGAGCCAGGGTGAGGGAGAGCCAGGGTGAGGGAGAGCCAGGGTGAGGGAGAGCCAGGGTGAGGGAGAGCCAGGGTGAGGGAGAGCCAGCCAGGTGAGGGAGAGCCAGGGTGAGGGAGAGCCAGGGTGAGGGAGAGCCAGGGTGAGGGAGAGCCAGGGTGAGGGAGAGCCAGGGTGAGGGAGAGCCAGGGTGAGGGAGAGCCAGGGTGAGGGAGAGCCAGGGTGAGGGAGAGCCAGGGTGAGGGAGAGCCAGGGTGAGGGAGAGCCAGGGTGAGGGAGAGCCAGGGTGAGGGAGAGCCAGGGTGAGGGAGAGCCAGGGTGAGGGAGAGCCAGGGTGAGGGAGAGCCAGGGTGAGGGAGAGCCAGGGTGAGGGAGAGCCAGGGTGAGGGAGAGCCAGGGTGAGGGAGAGCCAGGGTGAGGGAGAGCCAGGGTGAGGGAGAGCCAGGGTGAGGGAGAGCCAGGGTGAGGGAGAGCCAGGGTGAGGGAGAGCCAGGGTGAGGGAGAGCCAGGGTGAGGGAGAGCCAGGGTGAGGGAGAGCCAGGGTGAGGGAGAGCCAGGGTGAGGGAGAGCCAGGGTGAGGGAGAGCCAGGGTGAGGGAGAGCCAGGGTGAGGGAGAGAGAGCCAGGGTGAGGAGAGCCAGGGTGAGGGAGAGCCAGGGTGAGGGAGAGCCAGGGTGAGGGAGAGCCAGGGTGAGGGAGAGC